GCAGATATAGTGCTCAATACATAAGCTGTAGAGCGTTGTATAGTATAATGTATTCCGCAATGTTTTCTTGTGGCTTGGTTGTTACTCTGAGTTTCGCGCCCTATGGCGGTCATCAGACAACTGGCAGCTTTAGGTTGTTACTTGATGTTACACCCATTTGTCACCTGTTTCTATCCCTTTCATATTTAGATTTCAATTGTGACGGCACTTAGTGATGAGCTCGTTTCTTTTGTTAATTGTGTTGGGTTCTTTGTTGCATAGGATGGCTAGTTTTTCTTCAATGCATAGGTTACATTGCCCTGAATTGCGAAAGTGTGTGTTTGATTTCTTTAGGATCTCCCACTTTATTGCATATTCATGACCTTTTCTTTTTAGTTGCCATATGTGTTTTGAGAGTTCTGTTTCTTTTTCGTATTGTTCGTGTCTAAACGATTTCATGTGGTTGTTATACCTTTGCTTGAAAGGTCCTCCTGACAGGCCTATGTATGTTTTTGTGTTTTCTTGTGTTGTTATGGTGGCTCTATATACTAGGGCACTGGTTAGGTTAAGTGATTGATAATTTGATTGGTAAATAAATTAATTTGTTAAAGGCTAATTGATTGGTGCTTGATTGATTTGGGTGTTAAATAATTGATTAATTAATTGAAGACTGATTGATTTAATAGTTAGGTGATTATAAGTTTGGTCAATAAACGAGTTGTTTGGCTGGTAGATGATTAGTTAAATTGTTCCTCAGTTGATCAAATCTATAGATGGATTGATAGGTTACATAGTCTTAATTGATAGTTACACTTTTTTAACTTTCAGAGGCTACTACCACAGATTCAAAGACACGTCCAGTAAGGTTAGTTTTGACACTGACAATTTTATATAATAATAATAATAATAATAATAATAATAATAATATTGATGATAATATTAATAAGGTTAATAAAAATAATGGTGGTGACGATATTAATGATGATGACGCTGATAGTAATGATAATTATGATAACGTTGGTAGTGAGGCAGATAGTGAGGATGATGTCCATGCTAATGATGACGAACGATTAGAATTTTTATTTTTTTAATTATTATTCGGTTAATTTTATTCACATTCAAATCACAGCCTTAAGGCTGAATTACACGAGATTTAAACAGTATTTCTAATTCAAAATTAAAAGAAAAACCAAGCAAGAGCACAATAATAACATTAAAAGATTAAACATTAAAATTGGAAACATCAGAAATTCATGACAAATAACATACATAAATTATTGCGATGGTGATGTTGATGATGACAGTAATGATGATGATGTTGAGGATGATGATGATGGTGATGACAGTGATAGAGTCTAAGAGATAAGAATAATAGTAATAAGTTTGAATTGTGTAGCGTATTCAAATATATAAGCATAGGGCCTGTAATTTAATGTACTTCGTTTAATTATAAACAGATATATGTGTATGGATAGATCAGTGGACTGATTGGTTGATCAATGAAGGGGATAAACAGTACATAATTGAATATTTAGACAGTTTGTTTAATAGCACATTTTACATTTTTTAAAATTTGATTTTGCCAATTTAGACATGACCCGCGGCCGAAGAGTATGCCTAACGCTAAGGTAATCAATAAATTGATATTAAAATAGTTATACCTTATATACATACTTACGTTCTATCTATGCTGTATATATAAAATAAGTACGATAGTAGATACGCAATACGTTGACATAAAAAAAATATTAATTCGAATAATTCGAGCATTCCTCTGAACTCTTTTTGGAATATAATTTATGTAACACAAATAATTCGTCCACTCCTGTGCACAAGTGATATACTTATCTACAAGTTGCGGAAACTCAATTAGTATTGTTGCTGTGTTAATCAATAATAATTTGACGTATATATATATATATATATGTATATATATATATATATATTTATATATACTTTTACATTACATAAGTTTCTAACGATTTGAAACCATTAAAATATTGCACCAATGTGTTTGCTATATTACAAATTGATTCAAAATGTTCTTGTATAAACTTCAGACAGAATTGATTGCTGATTTAAATAAAGTGCTTAAAGGTAGGGAGATTTCAACGGAAGAAAATAGGAAAAACTTACAAATCCCAAGTCTACAACGAAGTCAAGAAATAGGCCTGCATGTAAAATTCAATGAAAGGTTTAGTATCATTCTGTCAATTTTAATTCCGATTAATTTTTTATTTACTTGATTTAGTTTATTATAATTCTAACCAGGGGTGGCGCCAGGATTTGCTCGAGGGAGGGGGGCGATGTCCCCGACGACGGGTGAGATTCCCCCGACAAAAGCAAAGTGGGCGTGATCGAGCTTCGATTAAAAGGTTTCGAATGTGGTCCAGAGGGCGAAGCCCTTTTGAACATTTTGACAATTTAGGGGTTTCAAAGGGTAATTTTAGAGTCTACTAATATGTAGAAAATACATATAATTTTTTTCTTCCCGACGAATTGTGCTTGTTCTCCCCGACCGGGGGGAGGGGGTGGTCAGCTTTCCCCGACGGGGGAATGGGGCCCTGTCCCCCCACCTGCTGACGCCACCCCTGATTCTAACACCGTAATATATTCAAACCTACAATGACACTTCTTGTTTTGTGATTCGACACTACATTGCTACCGTGTGGGTGAGGGTAGCAACAGCAATTTTTATATTTTTGAATTTACATTCCCTCCCATATCATGAATTTATTTAAAAACTCCAGGCCTCCGGCCCCTTGTAAAACAAATTATTACAAATTTAATTAAAATGTGCTGTGACAATACCTTAAATAAATTTCAATAATACACTCATGTTACATTTTTTCTTTTCTCCTTAATACATGGTAAATAAATAAACATACTTTGTTAATATAATATGATGGGGGATATGTTCTTCTTAAATCCGTATATAACTTGCAACACAAAAGAAAACGAATCTCATCTTCGATGCTACCATCATGACAAATACAAAGTCTATTTTTATAATCAACATTGTTTTTACGCCCCTTTTCAATTTTAAGACTATGATTTGATATACGAAAAGAAGTCATTAACAATTTAAAATACGGTTTTATATTCATTGACTTGTTTTAAACCATTTTTACAATTAAAGAAATCTGTAATGCCACTTTTTGTAAAGACACAACTTTTTACATTTTCATAGTATGATTTTAAAATATTAAATATTTCCCGTTTAACCCACGTTCAAGTTTATTAAACAATATTGGTCTATTTATTTTATCGAAAGCCTTTTTGAAATCTATGAAGGCACAATAAAACCTTCCCCTACTTTCGTAAAGGTATTTTCTAATTAAAGTATGAAGAATAAAAATGTTATCAGTAGTAGAGTAACCTTTTCTAAACCCTGCCTGTTCTTCCCTAAGTAAATTATTTGTTGATTCCCATTTCAGAAAACTATTATAAAGTACTCTCGTAAATATTTTGCAAGTTGCTGGAATTAGAGATAGGCCTATACTACGGTAGTTTTGTGGCAGGATTCTATCCCCCGATTTAAATAATGGAATTATCACAGAACTTTTCCAAGTTGAAGGTATATTTCCCGTATTTAGAACTATATTAAATATTGTAGTTAAAGTCAAAATAAAAAGGTTACCACATCGCTTAAAAAAAAAAAGGCGGTTGGAATTCCATCAATACGAGGTGACGCATTTTCTCTCAAAGCCAATATACATTCATTGACTTCATCAACAGTAATTTGTGCATTCATTAATAATAATAATAATATTTATTCGACAATGCAAAAAGTATACATACAATATTCTTGCCAGGAGTAAGTAATAGGCATAAGCCCAAACAGTAAACTGCTCTTACTCCATCATCAAAAACAAATACAATGACAATTATACAATATAAATATATACAAAAAGAAAAAAGTAAATTCAAAATAAATTGATTTAACTATAACAAAATGAAAAACAGAGATAATTAATAGTTGTTATTATTAATATTTTGAGATCAAGTGTTTTGTGAGCTGGGCTTTAAAGTCCGAAATGGATGTACATTGTTTAATTTCATTAGGAAGTTGTTCCCATAATCTAGGAAAAATAACAAAAGATGAATTTAAAAATGTATTAGTCTTGGCTTTCCAATGTATTAATCGCCATTCACACCTTTCACTTGATCTCACAAGATTATTAAACGACAATGGACATTGGCCATGCATTATTTTAAAACCTAACGTTATTCGATATACTTTAAAAATATCCTCCATGCTTAAAATATTCAAAATCCTTAATCTATATAAATATGACGTGTCCCTATTTCCTTCCTTTCTGTACATAATTATTCTAGCTGCCTTTATTGTACCCTTTCTAGTCTATAAATATTTGAAATTTCAGTAGGTGTCCACATGCAGCAACAGTACGTCATAACCGGTAATATTAAAGTTTTATAAAGATTGAGCATATATCCATCCAAGACATTGCCTTACTACATCTTGAAACAAAACCAAGAAATCTGCTTGCCTTATTACTAACATAATTCAAATGAGAATGACATGATATCTTATTGTTAATATAAACACCAAGTAGTTTAAATTCATGGACTCTTTCAGTTGTTCCAAAATTTTCCCATGTAAGAGGCTCTTTACACCTAGATAAACTCATAGTTGCACATTTAGATGCATTTAGCGGCAGTTTGTTAACAATAGACCATTCAACAATCCTATTTAAATCACCCTGAAGCCTAATACAGTCAGTCAATCAATATCCACGGGTTCTGTTTCTATGTTGCAATACATACCTTTACCATCAATCTCATTTATTACTTGTTGGTCAATATCAAATAAATTTGAAAAATATCTATCCAATCACTACCAGGTATGTCGTTGCTTTGGATTTTTCTTTTTATAAACAAATTCCAAAAATATTTTCCGTTATCAACTGTTAATGAATTTATAATTTTTTCAGTTCTAAGGATATAGTTATTTTAGAAGCCGAATATAAAACAGGAACTATTATCTTTTCTAACCAGAGCAAAAAGACACAATAATCACATGGTGCTCCGAGGTCAGCTTTTTTGGTTTTGGGGCTTTATATAATGTCTCTTGACAGCATGCCGTGGCCACGCATATTACCATTCTGAAAATATAAAGTAGCCTACATTTGAATGTTTTTATATCATATTAATTATAGAGGTAACTTATCCAGCAAATTTATCACGAATACGCCCTATTCATTCTATTCATTCAATGTCACTAACAGGGTTTGTGTTAGCATGAAGGAATTAAACTATTTCCTCAATGGTTTAGCAACAAACCTAGGACAGATCTTCAGTTCTGTCAGGTGGCCCATCAAAGTTATGACCAAATAAATACATTCTTTTACTTTTATTCAACGAGCATTATCGGGTACACTTCTATTAATATTAATAATAAGGATAATAAAAATATTGGTAGTGACTACATTGATTATGATAACGTTGGTTGTGATGCTGATAGTGAGGATGATGATCATGCTGATGATGACAACTATGAGAATTTGTCTTTTTTTATTATTCAGTTTCTTTTATTCACCTTCAAATCACAGCCTTAGGTCTGAATTACATGAGATTTACACATTCTTGAACTTATCGGGTACCCTTCTTTGATCGGCTAATTTTGTTTTAGAGAAGTTCGCGGGCAAAATGGAATTTACGCCTATCTGAGGCAATATAAACGACATTCAGTTAGGCCTATGCATAACAAGTGTTAGTTCAATTACATGATGACACAGACTATGAAGATTGAAGCGGAATATTTTAAACAAAATAAAACATTGTACATCTTATAATAATAGTACATTACTTTTAATAACTACGTAAAAATAAACTAACACAAACAAACCATCATTGTTTGCTTAAATCATCACCAAATATGTTTAATTAAAAGTCTAACAAAAATAAAACATCCTGTTTAATGGGAACCGTCAATAACAGTCCATAACCATAACAATACAAAATGATAACATAAGGCTAAAACAGAAATACTAAATGATTAGGCCTATCTATGTTTTTCAAAACAATGAATATCAGTGACTTAAATTACAAACGGAGGCCTTAGCCATTGCAGTAAAATCCAGCGTCAGGGCTGTCAAAGATATCTGCATCAAGTCCCCGAGATACGCATTAATAAGTTGACATCTATATACTAAAAAAAAAATTAAATTCATATTTGGAAAAGCCGCTTAAACATATGTATGTACTACAAAACGTGGTTAAGATGGTGATGGCTAGCTTCTTCAACACTGGCCTTGCATTAATATCACTGGGCCGGATGCGGGAGGAGGTGCAGACCGTGTGATCGCATTTTTTTTATTTTAGGCCTAATGATTAAAAAAAATGTATCATATAATTTTTTTTTTGCGCGGACCAGACTAAATGGCCCGTGGGCCGCCTATTAAGAACCAGGGGTATAGACTATCTCAGAGTAAGTTACCATTCTAGAAATGTTGTATGATCAACAAAATAAACTTCCCCTACAAATTTAATTTTTCCCCGAATTCCTGGAGCAGACCCTACGCAAATAATGTGTTACACAGTTTTTCGTCGGTCTATACTGACTTCATTTAGTGTATAGTGGAGTCAGTTTATTGGCCAATTAACTAATTTAAATGACAATTGAAATTAATATTAGAAAGATATTCTATTAATTATGCGACCGTTCAAATAATTTACTAAGTAAACACCTTAAATATTAACCTTTTGTCTCCAGAAAGCATCCATCACAGCAATCTGATGTTATTGAAAAGTACACACCAGAGCAATCTGGTGTCTTCGGAAAGTATACACCAGAGCAATCTCAAAAGCACACTCGAGAGCAGCCCCATGTCTTCGAAAAGCATCCATCAAAGCAATCTGATGTCTTTGAAAAGTACACACCAGATCAGCCTGATGTCTTTGGAAAGAAGTATACACCGGAGCAATCTGAAAAGCACACTCTAGGGCAGTCCGAGGTCTCCGAAAAGCATCCATCAGAGCAATCTGATGTCTTTGAAAAGTACACACCAGATCAGCCTGATGTCTTAATAAAGAAGTATACACCGGAGCAATCTGAAAAGCACAATCTAGGGCAGCCCCAGGTCTCCGAAAAGCATCCATCGGAGCAATCTGATGTCCTTGAAAAGTACACACCAGAGCAACCTGATGACTTTAGAAAGTATACACCAGAGCAATTTGAAAAGCCCACTCGGGGGCAGTGTCAGGTTTTCGAAAAGCATCCATCAGAGCAATCTGATGTCTTTGAAAAGCATCCACTAGAGCAACCTGGTTTTTTTAGAAAGTACACACCAGGGCAACATAATGTTTTTGAAAAACATACACCAGCGCGATCTGATGACTTTGAAAAGCACATACGATGGCAGACTCAGGTCTTCGAAAAGCACCCACCAGAGCAATCTGATGTCTTTGAAAAGCACCCACCAGAGAAACCTGCCATTCCAATTAAACAGCTGGCCCACGGAGTCCACACAATGGAACCAATCACACACTATCAACGCCAACAGGCTCAGAAAACATTTGCCAAAACTGAAGGTATGTTCCACAGATCGATATTGTTCAAACACGCTGGTACAGTCTTACCTCTATATGATTAGTTTATAATATAATGTAGTTTGATGGCATATGTATTCATTCATTCTCTTATTTCAGAATCAATAATTTGTTCATAAGTGTAACCTTTCAACTATTCAACATACATATTATGGGATAGTCCCTCGAAAGAGTCTCGTGGGCCGTCCGATAGGAGGGGAGACTACAGGGAGAGACGAGTCTCAGAGGACTGGCGTGGGCAAGCTGCGTCTTGTAGTCACGCATTTGACGAATAAAACCCTTCTATGATCAGCTTTACATGGTGTCTGGATCTCCCATAATATGTATGTTGAATAGTTGAAAGGTTACATATATACGTAAACCGAAAAAAATCAGCCAAACGTGTTCAAATAAATCTATAAGAAGCATAATTATGCAATAATACAAGGCATTGTCTATAAATATTATAGGAGAGGAGGAGACATCACTCCTTCATGTCTAACACCATTCGAAATAAAAAAAAAAAGTCAGAAAAAGATTTGCCCATCTGACAACAAATCTTTGAGTATTGTGCCAAGCTTTTATTAAAACCTTCACAACAAAAGCCGGGGTACCATGTGATGTGACGTGGCGGGATATGATACATACCATACAGTATGGTATACTGATAATGGTAATGTACATTAGCGCCAGTATCGCAAGTATTCATACAAGATGCTTATGGCGCTTGATGTGTGAACTAACGGCAGCTCGTTCTGTGATATTATCACCCCCAAGGGTCCCTTCGTTCCTGTACTACCTGTCACCAACAGTCTGTACCAGTACATTGTGGCATCCCCCCTACCCGTCACGAATGATGTACTGTGTTCTTTAGTGCTCACGAGTCATTTTGTACACTGGGCCTACAGTTTATAATCCTTATACGCGAGGACTTCTACTACCAGAATCATGATGGATGAGCCTACCGCAAAAAATCAGACAGAACATAAATATTTTCAAAATATGTTATTATAACAATCCAGAAATCATTCTTTGACAACCCTGAACAAATCTCCGCAAAATTCTCTGCACCTAAAAGTGCATACAAAAACTTAATGCATTAATCTAACTAAATATACTTTGTTTATGTGTTACTTAGGTCAGCAAACTGAAGACAATTTAACCGAATTTTCAAAAGTAAGTTATTTATGATATGTTGGAAGGGAGGTGGGGAAAGGGCTACTGCCAGGGAAAGGTGGGTTCTTCCCCGCCCTCGACCGGCTAGCTGTCCTTTAACAAAAGCGCGACTGATTAGCGTACATTATAGCATTAAATAAACAATAGTGCCGTTTTCATTTACGTTAGCCAAATGAAATAAAATGTTTCTTGTTTTCTACATTTTTTTGGCCGTTGCCCTATCACGAAAAACTACTCATAAAGTTGTTTTGTGCTCAGGAATGTAGATACTTTCTTGATCATGTAAAGTGGCTACATGAAAATGTAAAGGAAACAAGGGAAAAGTACGAAAACGACGAGATGTTGAGGGTTGTATTATACACAAAAGAACAGAAGATGTTTTGGCACCTGGGAGATATTGAATATGCTTTAAACAGGTAAATATTAATTTCTTCAAAATATATTCTCCCGTACATTAATACTATAAATTTGAAATATAAATACAATTAATATCATTTAATTTAATTTAAAAGTTCAATGCATACTGCACGAACATTAAAAATCATCAGTCATTTCTCTCGGGTTTAGGTTCATTATATTCACAATAGGCCTATAATGAGTTATTTATCTTCTTTATGTTTTCTTTTTATTACAATTCAATAATGGCAATAAGAATGAATGTATGTTATAGTCAAATGCCTGGTTTCGTAAAATCTCTAACGGTACCGCCTAGCCTTCGGTGACGCTGATATTGTCGGTCGAATGGGGAACCTTTCCGTGCTATACCGGCAGCAGCTGTGTAGCGACAATTCAAACCAGGTTATTTTGTTAATTATATTAACTACATTATTGGTTGTTATTTAGTTTTACAGGTCATCTAGAAAAAGTAATGGAAGATTATGTCAAAATAGTAAAGTTGGTGAATGAATGGCTGAAAGAGAATTATTTTGAGGCGTTTGAGAATTACTACCTCAATTCAGACATACAACAGAGCTTAGTCTCACATGTCAAGTCAGTATAATGTTTATTATGTTTTTATTATTTTTACATGCAGTTTTGTACTTTTGTTTGTATTAATCATCCAGCTAGATATATTTTATTGCACTGTCTTATCACCAGTTTCCTCTTGGTTTTTCTGTCATAATATTTTTATACTACTGTGCTATTTATATAAAAAATTAAGAGGCCAATGGTCATACCCTTTTGTATTTTGTAAGATACACAGCTTTTAAATCCATAAGCAAAGACACAATCTGGCTAGCTTGGCATCAAAATAAGTTATTGGTAATAATAACATTATTAAGCAGAAGTAATTTTATTACATCATCCAAGATTTATTTCTATTATTATCCATCCTCCGGTACATCCTGTTATATTACTGGATGAGAGTTTTACGTTTTTTTGCTCTCCAGAATTGTCATCTTCAGTTTCATCTTGTAAATTTTGTGATTCCTTAATACTTTTTTTTTTAGTTTTGTTTTTAAAGGATTTCGCAATTACAATCCAAAAATGTAATTTTCTAATTATTCTCTCAGAGAAAATCGTCCAATCTTTCATCAAGTTTTACAAGAAAAGCATTCACAGACGCAACAGCTAAATCGAAATTATTCTTTCGAAGATCTTGAGGCTAGATTTGAGGAACCAAAAAAATGGTACCATATTCTAAATTACCACCTAAGGGTACGTAGTCTTAAGAAATTATACATAGTTTAGGATTGGGCCTACTACAACAATTTTAATCCCATGTAAATACTTAACCTGCGAAAAATATAGACGACTGATCAGGCCCGTAGGCAGGATTTTCGATGGGGAGGCGCATTTTGCAACCGAAGTGGACCTTACGATGGGCGACTGCCTAGGGATTTCAGTGAGGGTGGGGCGAATCTTCTGGAAGCTCTGACAAATTAGCATTTTGAGGGCCTTTTTTTTAATATCCTATTTAAATTTTTATTCATTTGAGTATTGTCTAGGGACCTACAGTAAAGCAGGAGAAATAGAGGGAGGGGTGAAGGGAGAAACTTGCACAGACAGATGGTCAATACCACCTCAGTCCCACCATGGTTGGGGCTGAGGTAAGACAATTTATGATTATGGCACCTCAAAGTGGCCGGAAATGGCACTCTCAGACAAACTTTAATTATGATTTTTCTTTTTTATCCATTTCTTTATAATTTTAGGGGGCTCTACCCCCTTGAATCAACCACTGTGAAATTATAATTTTTCATGTCCTTTACACCTGTAGGCCTACAATCACTGGAGCTGATAATTTTCAACAGATTTCGTAGAACATTATTAAAAATCAACGGAAGAATAGCGGGCAAAAAAAATTTAATGCATACTATAGCATTTCGCGATAATTAGGAACGATTTTAGTGAAATAATAGGTTTTAAAAAGTGGACTTTTTGAATTTGGTGGTCCAGGGGCAGAGGCCTAAAGGGGGTTTGTGAGAAAAGCGACAAAGTAACATTTTGAGGGTCTTACATAATAGATTTCTCAAACACATAATTCATGAATATTTCATTAAAATTTTCATTAATTTGGGTGTTTTTGGGACCTGAAAAAGTAACGTTATTATGTTCTGTACATCTGCAGGCCTATAGATAACATTCATCATATTATATAGATCAATCTAATCACCAGGAACGATCAATTTCCAACAAATTTCATACCACATTATTAAAAATCAACGGTTAGATAAGCTGGCAAATATATAATGCAATGCATGCTATAGCAATTTGTGATAATATGAACGATTTTGTGAAATCATAGGTTTTAAAAAGTGGACCTTTTGGAATTTGGGGAGGGGGTGCGTCCGCAGCCCCCTGCCTACGGGCCTGCTGATGCAAGAAACATTTGTTATATGTAACTTTTAATAATTTTCAGGATTGTATAAATACATTTAAGTTATACAATTTTATTTTATTTATTTTGTTAGAGACTGGACGAGGCGCACACGCGATGTTTTAACGTTACAATGGAATTCAAAGTCATTCAGTTCGAAACTATGAAACTGCTGGAGGAAAAGCAAACTAACATTATAGAGAAAAAAAAACAGCATGCAGACCATCCTTGGACAATCATTACCGCTCTGGAGGTAATTATTGCATTATAGGCAGTGGCTATTTTTCTTCAGTCTTAATCGAATTCCTAAATCTCATTAGATTTATTGTCCTAATCCAATCCATAACTACGCAGGGGCGGATTTAGGGGGGGGGCGGCCCGGCACCGGCCCCCCTTTTTTGGGAGGTAAAAAAAGGGAAAAAAAGAAAAAAAGAAAGAAAAAGAAAAAAATGATAGCCCACAACGCCTCAAATGTTATTTTCGGGCGTCTAGAACACAAAAATTTCGCGGACCCCCTAGGTCATTGTTGTCTCGATCGGCCCAAATTTCGCCCTTCCCCACTTTTGGACATCTCTGGATCCGCCCCTGTACAGTAACACCCAAACAGAATTAGGAATTTGTTTAATACTGGTGTAACAATGGTCACTGCCTTTATCATAATTAAAATGATGGGCGACTTAAGGAACTCATATTGATTAATGAATAAATGAATGAATCAATCAATCAATGAACCAACGAATGAAGGTGAAGTTATTTTGTTTTCAGACGTGAAATTATACAGTATAACCATTGACCAATTATGTTTTGTTACTGTTCATGTTGCTTTCATTGCTTTCATAGC